CATTCCACCTTCTGATCTGCTCGATCCGCTGTTTCCTCCATTCAAGATCCACTCCAGCAGAACCCCACGACCTCTGCCCTGATCCCGACCTCACACGGCTCCGATCCCATTCCCGAACTCCTCCTCTGTTTCATTGTGTTGCGCCTCCTTTCAGCCGCAGAGAGAGAGAGAGAGAGAGAGAGAGAGAGAGAGAGAGAGAGAGAGAGAGAGAGAGATCAAGCTCCTACCTCATACTCCGACGTCTCCCAAAGCCCGATCCGCCTCCTGCTCTCCTCCCGATTTCCCCCTTCTCTGCCGCAAGCCAGCTCCGACTTTCCCTTCCTTTCGGTTTGGAAGTTCCGACATTTTGATCTCAAGCCCCCCCCAAAGAACGGGAAGCAAGCTAGCTGTGAAGGTTAACACCTCCCTTCGCGCGCTCCTTTTGGCCAAATCCCGTAAGAATGCCGAGCCTAGGAGAGAGGGAGAGGGAGTTTAATTAAAATTATATTAATTGATTTTAATTAAATTAATATTAATAGTTTTTAATTAAAATTAATGTCTATTTTAATTTTAATTAATCATTATTGTAATTTTTAATTAAATTAATAATTATTTAAAGTTAAATATTAAATTACAGATTATCTTAATTAATTATAATTAATTTCAATTAACTATAATTATTAAACTTAATTATAATTGTTATAATTAATTATGATTAATTTTAAATAATTAATCCTAATTAATTTTAACTAATTATGATTAACTTTAATGGAAGTTAATATTAATTAATTATGATTAATTATTATATTTTTTAAATTAAAATTAATTAAATATTAATTATTCATAATTAATTAAGGTTATTCATAATTAATAATTTTAATTAATAACTTATAAATAATTATAATTATTAAAATAAATAAAAAATGCTTCTCTTTTACCTCGATCCTTGTGCCGACATCTCCGCATCGACGGCCGCCAAGGTATAAAATTCTAAACCCTAAAACTCTGAGAACCCGTTTCAACACATTCATCAAGACAAAACGACCACCTATGCACGCTTTCTTAGTGTGGTGGGAGGGAGTGCGTCCCGACGCTTGCGACGAAGCGGGTGATCACCCAAAATCCTTCTTCAAAGTCCGTATTGCCTTGGAAACCCCGCCTATGCATGCTTTTCTTAGCGTGGTGGGAAGGGATCCCGGTGCGATGCGCACGACGAAGCGGGGATATCCATAAGTACCTGCTTGCGGGGAAATAACTGTTCTTGCAAAATATTTTCAAAAAAATTAAAAAAAAAATACTTTTTTTTTTACAAACAAAATACCCATGCACGCTTTTCTTAGCGTGGTGGGGGATCAAAAAATTACACGGCCGCGGTGTCCTCGAAAGAGGGCATCTACCATGCACGCTTTTCTTAGCGTGGTGGGAAAGGCCCAGTTTTCCGTAGTTTTCCCCTAAACGGGGGAGACGCCGGAAGGCTGCCGAAATTTCGGGTGAAATATCGCTACACTTGGACTTGATTGCACTCGGATGACATGTAAGAATGACGAATGGCTTGTACTTGGACTCATTTGAACTCAAAAGACATTAATAAAATGCTTAATTCAAACTCAAAACCAAACTTGGATAAATGATGAAGGACTTGTGTAAGACTTGAGTCGGACTCAAGCTGAACTGAACTAAAACTTGATACTTGAACAAAGTTGAACTTGAACTTGATTCAATCATTTGAAATCAAACAAGAATCTGATTTGGACAACAAGACTTGGACTTAAATTTGGACTTTCATTTGAACTCGAACTGGGACTTTACAAGAAGACAAGTGAACTTGAATATAATCATCAGAGAACTTGAATTGGAAATAGACTCATGCAAAGAATTTGCAATTTGACTGCAAAGACCCGAACTTTGAATGATAAATAAATCAAACAAAAAGAGTACAAATGCTATTCAAGACTTTGAATTGTCCAAATGAAACATCAATGCAACTTTCTTGCATATATCAATTGACTAAGTTAAAGGGAGATCTGTACAAGTCACAAATCATCCTCAAAAGATGGTAGAAGACTTGTAATATTTCATATGGCCACTTACAATCAATCAACAATGATTGTAGAGAATGTGATGATATGCCAATCTCTTACAAGCATAATTCACTCACAAGATAATCAAGACAAAAAACCCAATTCTACTACGAATAGTGGCATGAGATCTCCAATGTACTCATGAAAAATTTTCATCCCTATCATGTTTGCAAAGTAGCAATAATTTCAAGGAGGGAGATATTCATGAATAATATAAGAAAAGACATGCAACGCTGCAGAATCTTTTGGCTTGTACATAGTCATTATGAAACTTACAAATGCTCATATTAGTTAAGCGGTGAGTCTATTTGAATAATGCTGAATGTCGTACAAAGGGAACCATCAACGGATGCGACCCTGGTTCATATAAAGAAGATAGTAATTCACCAAAGGCAGATACTTGAGAAGAATATAATGGATATGACTTGTTCGTAGTCAACATCAAGATACAAATAAGTACATTGATCTACAAGCAATCAAGAATAAAAGATCTATAGCACGTACGATCTCTCTACGAAGACAAATATATGTGTCAAATGCCACCATGGATAGATGCATAATACTACAGTAAATGCAGTATCCTGTAGTCAACTTCAGTCTAAGAATGAATATCTACCTCCAACAGTAATGGTCATATTGCAAAGACCAAAACTACAGCATAATGCATAAAGACTACAAGTTCCTACGAGCTTCTACAACAAAGGCAGGAGGCTTATTAGTGCACTATGACCCGCCTACGAAAAGCAACAAGTAGTGCATGACAGTCTACCTGTACGAAGTAGCGAACAATTCTATCTAGAAGCTGCTACGTCACGCCACCGGATCTGCAACATTCCTACAAGCAGACAGAAGGCGTCTACAATTATTTCAAAGTACCCCTGCACGTGCACTATAAATTGTATACACATAGGTACACTAAAAGGGGTAAAAATAATTATAAAACCCGCATGGGCCCCGGCGAGCATGTTATTGGTACACACGTGACGTCTAGGGATGCTGTGCGGGTTGACAAGTGAATTCCAGTTCGAACCCGATCCTCCTATACGGATCATTAGGAGTCGACAAGGTTCGAACTCTCAAACAAATATACGGTTGTGGCGACCGTTATATTTGTCTTAATACATTCATGTTAGGCCTTCAAAGGTCTATATCAATGAGAATTCACTATCAATGGCAGAAAGCCTACGAAACTCGATCCTCTGTCGACAGCCCGACAGAGTTGACAAGGTTCAATCCATAAAAAGAAATGACCACCCAAACACCCCGATGATGGCCGTGTTGAATGCAGATCTCAACCGGAGGGGTTCTCAAACATTTTCAAATATTTCCTAAATATCCAAAGTTTATTTCAAATAGTCCATAGCTCCACCCAAAATTCCAAAAA